GATCCAGGAAGTCTCCAAAGACAACACATTTAAGGTGCCAAATGCGTATAAGATGTGTACAGGGAAACATTAAAAGAACTAAAACTTTTTTTAAAAAAGCTAATAAATATCCAGATAAGCCGATTAAAAAACCTATATTGCTGCAACACAAGCTGACCAGTCGACCGCATGAGCAGCGACCACCAGGCTCTTTCTCTGTGCAGAATTAGAGGACGAGTCTGGCAGGCCAGGCTAGAGGTAGCTGTCATTAAACCCTGATCCAGCCCACTGCCTCCTGCTGTTGTTGTTAATAACAAAATGTATTCATCACTTGTATAGGTTAAATGGCTAAACAATAACAAACCGATTAATCGAAAAAATTAATCGACAGATTAGTCGATTATGAAAATAATCGTTAGTTGCAGCCCTAGTTGTTATTATTATAATATTATCACAAATATAAAACCAGCATCTTGGAAGTTTAGGATTCTTTATGGTTTTAGTGTTTTCAGCAGCAGAGCCTGGTTCATGCTTTGTCACATTTCCTTTGGGTTCAAACAAAATAACAAACCAGGCCAAACATGTAGTTCATGTTGTTTATCTTATTTCATCCATAATTCATTTAGTTTTTAAATCTCAATTTTTAGGTTGTTAATTTAAAAACAACCATTTGATTATAATTAAATAACCTGTTAAAAGCACTAAAATGTGGCAAATAACATCTGCTCACTAAAATGTTTCTGTGGGAGACCCCCAGACCAACTCCCCCTAGGTCCCGAGCGCGGCTGTGTCTGCAGCTCACCGCTCCCCCAGGGGATGGGTCAAATGCGGAGAACAAATGTCGCACACACACCTGTGTGTGTGACAACTAATGGGACTTTAACTTTAACCTGAAGTCTTCGTCCTCAGAGCTGAGGACAATACTGGGACATGTGGCTGACATGTCTCAGTCTTTGTCTCTTCTCAGAGGAACAGAAACTTGTTAACAAAAGGTAAACAAAGGTTTTGCTACTCTGAGAGCAGGGACACGTAGAAAACATGCAGCCACTGTGGCCTTCAAGGACCAGTTCTGCTCCCCCTGTTAATGTTCAAAAGTACTGCTACCTTCATCTGCAGCAGGTTCACTTGCTGGGGAGGGTGTGTGTGTGTGTGTGTGTGTGCGGCTACTTTTTTCGATGTGGAGTCTAACCTTTTTCACCCTTGACCCGTTTTCATGTCTGTATTTTGCGTGTCTTTAGCTCCGCCCTCTAGCTTGGAGATTTCCCCGTTCCTAAAAAGTGTGTGTAAACAAAACCTACTGGTGCGGGACCCGGACCGACGCAACGCAGTCCCGTCTGTGCTGCCCCAGATGTGAATGCGCCAATACAGACCCGATACATGACGAATTGTTCATTTAGATATCAAGCATGTCATGAATGACGACAATCACTGAGTGGGCCAGAGTAACGGCAGGCCACCGGGAAGTTTCCCCGTTCTCCTGATTACCAGTTAATTTAAGGAACTGATGTTGTTGTATTCCTAACCCAAACCTCAACTAAAAGTTAATTCACCCCATATAGGGCTGCACGACATTAGGAAAACCTGCGATATTCGTTAACAATGATTAATAGTGCGATGACGATATTACTTGCGATAAATTAAAACTTAACTCAGGAACAAAAATAATCAAAAACAAAGAAATTTTAAAAAATCATAAAATTGAGAAAAGCTAAAGGTGTGAGGAAAGGGGAAAAGAAAATGAACAAGAGAAGCAGAATCAGCAAAAAGAGCAAAACAAAGCTAACTCAGGTGTTTGCTAACCATCAAAATTAAGGGCCGTCCACCTTGGGTGCGATATGCATATTGTGCATGCTGATATCGCGATAACGAAATATTTACGAAATATTGTGCAGCCCTAACCCCATACTTCTAAAACTAAAGTAGGTTTTATTTTTTTTTTCACAGTGATGATCTGTCAATTGTCCTCACAATTTTAACATGTCCCCATGTTAGAGGCGAAAAGTCAAAAATGTGTCCTCACAGCATACATAAGATATGCCAACACACACACACACACACACACACACACACACACATTATTCCCAGGCTATAAGGGTAAACTGTCTAGTCAGCATGCAGCTCAGTGAATTTAATGTCCTAGTTGAATGGGTGGGGAAAATAGATCTTTATATAAAAGGCGTGAAAATCCCTCATTTATGTAGCATTTGTCAGGGCTCCTGAGTCATTTAAGGCTCGTATGATTTATAGAGGCTCAAAGTTCAGTTTCCTTTTGTAAATACATTTCAGCCTGAAGACCTCTTATGATGAATAATATAAATGGAAACCGTGTTCCCTCACCTGGACATGGGCCACCGGGGCCCCCCTCTGGAGCCAGGCCTAGAGGTGGGGCACGTTGGTGAGCGCCGTGTGGCCGGGCTTTCACCCATGGAGCCCGGCCGGGCACAGCCCGAAGAGGAAACGTGGGTCCCCGTTTCCCATGGCCTCACCACTCATGGGAGGGGCCAAAGGGGTCAGATGGGTGGGATTCGAGGGCGGGGACCTTGGTGGTCTGATGCTCGGCTACAGAAGCTGGCTCTTGGCACATGGAATGTCACCTCTCTGGTGGGAAAGGAGCCTGAGTTGGTGTGTGAGGTTGAGAGATTCCGACTAGATATAGTTGGACTCACCTCAACGCATGGCTCTGGCTCTGGAACCAATTTCCTTGAGAGGGGTTGGACACTCTACCACTCTGGAGTTGCTCCCACTGAGAAGCGCCAAGCAGGGGTGGGCATACTAGTTGCCCCCCATCTTGGTACCTATACATTGGAGTTTACCCTGGTGAATGAGAGGGTAGCCTCCCTCTGTCTATGTGTGGGGGGACGGGTTCTGACTATGGTCTGTGCTTATGCACCAAACTTCAGTTCAGACTACCCACCCTTTTTGGAGACCTTGGAGGGGGTGCTGGAGAATGCTCCTTCTGGTGACTCCCTCGTTCTGCTGGAGGACTTTAACGCTCACGTGGGCAATGAAAGTGAGACCTGGAGAGGTGTTGTTGGGAGGAACGGCCCCCCTGATCTGAATTCAAGTGGTGTTTTTTTATTGGACTTCTGTGCCAGTCATGGATTGTCCATAATGAACACCATGTTCAAACATAAAGGTGTCCATATGTGCTCTTGGCACCAGGATACCTTAGGCCGCAGCTCGATGATCGACTTTGTTGTTGTTTCATCTGACCGGCAACCGCATGTCTTGGACACTTGTGGCTGGGGAGAGGGAAGTCTGGGCCTCTCGACTTAGCTACTGCCCCCACTACCCGACTCTGGATAAGCGGGTGAAAATGGATGGATGGATGGAAATACATTTCATTCTACTGTCAGTTTAAAGAAATAATACAAATGACATATGTGTAAAAACAGTTACAGCTGTCTGTAATTCATATAATGTTTCTGTGTTTCCTACAGATTTTCAACAGGTGGTTCTGGTTAAATAAGAAGCTTCAGAAGAACAGAAGTGCTCGTGTCAACCACCAGCACCTAGATTTTCTCCACAAAAAGGAGGAACAGGAGAAACTCTGGTCTAATATGGAGGGAGAGCATCTCCATTTGAATAAGGAGACTGATGCTGCCAGGTTTCAATCCTTTAGCCGTAAAACACATTTAAACAAACACACAAGAGTCCACACAAAACAGAAACATTTTGCCTGTGAGCAATGTGGAAAAAGATTTAGCGGAAAGTCATCTCTAAACAGACACATGGGAGTCCACACAGGACAAAAGACTTTTCCGTGTGACCTCTGTGGAAAAATATTTAGCCACAAGTCAAATTTAAGCATTCACATGAGAGTCCACACAGGACAGAAGCCTTTTGTTTGTGAGCTTTGTGGGGAAAGATTTAGCCGAAAGACCCATTTAAACAGTCACATGAGAGTCCACACAGGACAGAAGCCTTTTGCTTGTGAACTGTGTGGACAAAGATTTAGCGGAAAGTCAACTCTAAACATTCACAGGAGAGTCCACACAGGATGGAAGACTTTACCGTGTGACCTCTGTGGAAAAAGATTTAGCCAAAAGTCAGCTTTAAACAGACACATGGGAGTCCACACAGGACAGAAGCCTTTTCCGTGTGACCTCTGTGGAAAAAGATTTAGCGAAAAGTCAATTTTAAACAGACACATGGGAGTCCACACAGGACTGAAGCCTTTCGCCTGTGAGCTCTGTGGAAAGAGATTTGGCCTAAAGGCCTCTTTAAATAGTCACATGAGTGTCCATGCAGGGCAGAAGCCTTTTGTTTGTGAGCTTTGTGAAAAGAGATTTAGCCGAATGTCAGCTTTAAACAGACACATGAGAATCCACACAGGACAGAAGCCTTTTGCTTGTGAGCGCTGTGAAAAAAGATTTAGCCGAATGTCAACTTTAAAAAGTCACACGAGAGTCCACACAGGACAGAAACCATTTGCTTGTGAGCGCTGTGCAAAGAGATTTAGCATAAAGTCAGCTTTAAATAATCACATGAGTGTCCACACAGGACAGAAGCCTTTTGCTTGTGAGCTCTGTGAAAAGAGATTTAGCCGTATGTCAACTTTAAAAAGACACATGATAGTCCACACAGGACAGAAGCCTTTTGCTTGTGAGCTCTGTGGAAAGGGATTTAGCCAAAAGTCAGCTTTAAATAATCACATGAGTGTCCATACAGGACCGAAGCCTTTTGCTTGTGAGCTCTGTGAAAAGAGATTTAGCCGAATGTCAACTTTAATAAGTCACATGAGATTCCACAAAGGACAGAAGCCTTTTTCTTGTGAGCTCTGTGAAAAGAGATTTAGCCAAATGTCAACTTTAAATAATCACATGAGTGTCCACACAGGACAGAAGCCTTTTCCATGTGACCTCTGTGGAAAAAGATTTAGCCTAAAGTCAACTTTAAATCGTCACATGAGTATCCACACAGGACAAAAGCCTTTTGCTTGTGAGCTCTGTGAAAAGAGATTTAGCCAAAAGTCAACTTTAAATAATCACATGAGTATCCACACAGGACAGAAGCCTTTTGCTTGTGAGCTCTGTGAAAAGAAATTTAGCCGAAAGACCCATTTAAACAGTCACATGAGAGTCCACACAGGACAGAAGCCTTTTGCTTGTGAGCTCTGTGAAAAGAGATATATCGAAAAGTCAAATTTAAACAGACACATGAGAGTCCACACAGGTCAGAAACCTTTTCCGTGTGACCTCTGTGGAAAAAGTTTTAGCCATCAGACAACTTTAAACAAACACACAAAAGTTCACACAGTACAATAGCCCTTTCCTTTTGAGCTCTGTGGAATAAGATGTAGTTAAAAGATACATTTAAACGGTCACATGAGAGTCCACACAGGACAGAACCCTTTCACCTGTGAACTCTGTAGATGAAGATTTAGCTGAAAGAAAACTTTAAATAATCATCTAAGCATCCACTTGGGCTGAACGATCTATTGCAGGGGTCTCCAACATTCTTTGGCCTGTGAGCTACTTATACACAATGAAAGTACAGCAGTTACTGCCATATGATTTTTTTACATTGATACTTTCCATGTGTGAATGTGCTTATGTTAAACATGCTATACTTACTATATTAACATGCTTTGTATTCACAAGTTGATTTCTCTGTATTTCAGTACATCAGTATATTTTTTTTTCAAGTATAAGTAAGTTAGTGATATTCTGAAAACCAAATAGAACAAAACATATTTAGTTTTTTAAACTAATCGGATACTTTCAGATAACGAATAACAAATCTACTTCATGTGAATTATTTGGTAATTTTTTCTAGAAGGTTTGTATAATAACTTTTTGAGCACACAGGAACAGCTAACCTGTAAAGCTGATGATATTTTAACTAAAATACAAGCTAAATGTGATGAAAACACAAAATTGTCAATAGTTTGAATTGAAGTAAAAAAAGTAAAATCAGAAATAAGGTTTGTTCCTGCTCTCCTGATTTATTGAATAATTTTTATGGGGTATTTTTTTTGGTCATGAAAGTTAAGTTTTGCTGCGTTTATTGCTGACAATATTAAGGTTGGAGGTTTATCCTTTTTTTCTGCATCTTGTAGGTTTTTTTCTCGGCAGGTCTGAAGGCTGTGCGTTACACAGAGCAGAGACACAGAGAGCAAGAGACCAGAACCAAAAGAAATGATCACGTCACACCAGTCATAAAATATTTACATTGGCTTCCAGTAACTTACAGGATTGATTTCAAAGACCTTTTACTTACTTTTAAATCATTAAATGGCCAACAACCTCTGTATATAGCAGAGATGTTTGAAACGTAGCGCCCTTCAAAATCACTTAGGTCAGCAGATAAATCCCAACTGGTACAACCCAGAGCCCGCACCAAGCACGGAGAGGCTGCCTTTAGCTGCTATGTGGTCTGTCTCTGGAACTGTCTTCCAATAGACATTAAGACCTCCATTACCATTTTTAAACCTATATTAAATACTAAACTTTTTCTTGATGCCTTCCATTAACCTATCCTTGCATCTGTGCTCTACTAGGTCTTTATCTGTACTGTGTTAAATTTATTCTATATGTATTTTATGTGTATACCTATTCTGTGCTGTTTTATCTTTGTTCTATATTTTAAAGTAAATAAATTGGTAACGCTTCCTTTTACAGTCCTTAATTACTAAGTACTACATGGTAATTACATAGTAAGTTAAAGTGTATTATTGTGTAATTAAAGTGGATAATTGTAATCAAGTGTAGTTATTGTGTAAAGCAGTATATATTGGGAATGATTTAAAAAATCAAAACTAGAATTGAACCTGAGTTACATGGTAATAACAGTTGAAGAACGCAGAAACAATAATAAACTTTATGTAATTACCATTTAAGTACTAAGTAATTAGAGGACTGTAAAAGAAAGCACTACCAATAATTTTACTTGATATACTTTTATTTTTGTGTACTATGTTCTGTGTCAATATTCTTTGATTTTATTTTACACAACATGATGTGACATTTTAACTATTTCATTTCATTTGTGGTTGTTTTAACTACGTGAAGCACATTGGGCTACTGTTTTGTGTATGAAATGGGCTATATAATAAACTTGACTTGAGAGAGGGTTCACAATCATGTTTTATTACTAAATGAGACACTCAGCTGAAACTGGGGGAAATATATGATGAATCTAAATCACAGGAGATGTCCAGAGTTTTTAAAGCCTGTGTTCATCATGTTATAGGGGGCCACAAAGAGGCTACACTCACACCCAGTTCTTGGGACCACAGACATATATATTGACTAGGGACTGTTTGTGTGTAAATATTGTTGACTGCTTGGCCGCTTGATCAGAACCAGAAACTTATGTGTAACAGACCATCTGGGTGTTCAGGGGGCCGTATGTGGAGGGCCACACACAGGCTACGCTCACACCCAGTTCTTTGGACTGTTTGTATGTAGATGTAGCAGGACTGGTTGGTGTCTCAACCAGTTGATCACCCAGCCTATCACACATATTAATCAAACCAGCCCACCATGAAAACATAACTATATATATATATATATATATATATATATATATATATATATATATATATATATATATATATATATATATATATATATATATATAATTGTGTGTGTGTGTGTCAGAAATATATTTAACCAGATGAGTCGGTAGTGAACTCATTCTCATTTACAACAACAATCTGGCCAAGAGGCAGCAGCAACAGACACATAATCAGCTTTACATCAAAGAAAAACAGATGAGATAAAAACCAACAAGATCGAAATAAAAAAGTAAATAACAAAATTATTATAACAGGTGTAAAACTAACTTGTCTTTACTTTAAGTAATTGTTTGAGGAAGATATCACATGTTATGTGTTTTATTAGTCCCATTCTGAACACACAGGTGTGTTTTATTCTGTTCCAGCAGGTGGCGCTAGTGCACCTTTACGCTGGTCACCGACCACCGGAAGAAGCAGAAACCGCTAGCTTGTTGTTCTGGTGTGTGAGGAGAAAATTTGAGGCTCTGCAGTAAAAATGTCTTCACTTCAGTCTCTGGGAGAGTTGATCAGCTAAAGCGACTAACTGCTGCTGCTGCAGAAATCTTCTCACCAGGCTGTGGAAACTTTCTTCTCCTCCTCAACAACTTGGTGGAGTTCTTTCCAGAACCAGAGAAGATATTCTGCGGTCTTCGTGACAATCGGAGCTCCAGAATCAGGTTGTGGGTGAGAAAAGCTTTTCTCTAGACTTCCTGCCCTCTGGATCTGCTGCTGTTCCTTTGGCCAGAACCAAAGCGTTGGATCTTTAATCTCCTGCGTTGTTCTGAAGCAGCATCTTAATCAGCTCTCCTGCTTTGTTTCTATTGCAGCTGTTAGCTAAACACGGCTAAAGAAAACCTGCTACCACTTCAGGATCATCCATCAGCTGGGACTGATTCATCGTGTTTTCTTCACCACCTGGACCTGGACAGCATGGACACAGGTAGGACTGCCACCTTTCAGATATGTAAATAAGGACTCCACCACAGCTTCTCGGGGCCATGACCAAATATGAACTTTCTGCTGTAAAACCTGTTCTGTCCTCTTCAGCAGCTTCTGTTTCTGTTACAAAATAACCAGTAAAAGTGAACTAGTACTAAATCACATTGTTGGATTGATTTTATTTATATGTTGGCTCTAAAACAGGAGAAAGGCAGAAGGGTTGCACATCTTTCTGTGATCAAAGGTTCGATATGAATCTAGATTCACAGGTTATGATCCCATTTTACAAACTATATCCTTTTATTAAAGACCCGTTAGATTCAAAACGATTAGATTCGAATTCTCCGTAAGAACGAAACAACTTGATTCTACTGTTAATATTTATTTGTAGATATTTTATAAAATTAAGATACCAATTCTGTTAAAGTGACTGTAATATTCTCATTTTAAATATGTAAAAGACCACTTATCCCAAAGCAATGTTGCATAATGGCAAAAACATCACTGCATGATTGTCAACGTATTTATTTTTAGACGTGAACCCACAAAAAGTGTCTGAGTCATCGGATGGAAACTCCACAGGTAAACATAGCACATAATAAGAATAAAAAGCAACATTTCAGCTGGAGCATAGTGTTTTGAACACTAGAGGTGGGTAATAATGTAAACAAGTTACACACCTATAAACATACCAAGTAAAACTAACCCAATTGTGATGGTGGTCATTCATTTCAAATTGTATCTTCAGGCCTGGGGAGCCAGGATAAACCTCATTCTTATCTCAGTACTTAAAGGCCCCATATGTGAAATCCATTGAAATCATGATGAAAAAATTCGACTCATTAGCGCCATGCAGTTCAGAGAAGGAATTGCAGCCACGGTGATTCTCTCATGAGTTTGGCTGTATAATCAATTTCCAACCTGTGTAGCCTAACCATCGACATTTACATATATGGACAATGGGTTTCCATAGGCTCCAATAACACGTTTTTGAAGAGAAATGGGAGGTGGCTACCACCGCCATTGTGACCGTGTCACAGGTTCCGTCAAGCCCAGACAATTTCACAAAAGGGAAGAGAGGTGGAGCTGAGGGTGGGGCTGTAAGGCTGGGATCAACTGATGACACCCGGTCGAACTAGCTACAAGCTAACCCAAAGCTAACGCAGAGGTGGGAGCTAAGCTAATGGAGGTAGCAACCTAGCTACAACCGGAGTTAACTGTGCACAACACCAGAGCTTCTGAGTCCAAGATACTTCGGGCTGACCGCTGGGTAAAACCGGGTGGAAAGGTTTCCATCCCAGAGCTCCACAAGCCAGCAGCCCGCGCAGCAGACAGAAGTCGCGATCAGACAGAGATGCGCCGAGCTGCAGGGAGGGGAGAACTGGGTGGAAAACATCGGTCTCCCGAGAGCTCCACAAGCTGATAGTGGGAACCCAGCTCCACCAACATGTTCTATTTCAACCCATTTTCTAAAGTGCAGCATTATGTTAAATGCTCTGGGTTTTACCCTATTACATTTAAATTTCATGGTTAAACAGTACATGTTAAAATCTAAGCTCAGCTCGGCAGTGACCTAAAATACATAAATATAATTTTACTTACCGAAAAAAATGAAGTGGAGACACCTTGGACGCTCTATTAGTGCAATTAATGCCACAGCAAGTCATTTAGTCCAACAATTGCACAAATAATATCCAAAATAGAATACACAAACGCTACAACTAATGGTCTAAGTTGAGAGACTGAAAATGGCGGAACAATTTTCAGGCGAGGCCTTCCCCCAGAGCTAGCTCTGTGGTCACGTGGGTCTGATGCTCATTAATTATACAGAATTTTAGGCTTTTAATACACTTAAACAGAAGAGTGAGAAGAAAATTCACCCCCCCCTCAGAGTTGTCATGAGTGTAAACTAGATAATTTAAACAAAAAACATGTTTTGGTACCAGGCTGTAAACATGTTTATTTCTGCTGTGAAATTGGTATTTTTAACATGGGAGTCAATGAGGGTTTGCTCGCTTCTGACACCAGCCCCTAGTGGATGAGGGTGGAACTGCAATTCATTTCACTTCCGCATTGGACTCAATTTCTGTCCTGCATGGCGGGGGCTTGAGCCTAACCCACACGAAGCTTAAAACAAGCTCCTCTAACTTTTAAATAAAGCATTTATAATTATGACTGTTTATCAACCTACCAGTCCTGAAGGAAGCAAGCTAGTTCTGTTAGCTGTCACCATTCACACACGGAGGAGGGGTGACGTCAGCCGGGAGGTCCGGTGTTGTGAGAAATTGTGTTCCCCAGCAATATTCTGTCCCCCCGTGTCGGGAGATTGCACTTCAGGCTATTTTCACAATATTTGTGATTAACTTTTACAGTTAAATGATGTAATGTAATAATGTTATGCTTGTTATTTTTTAAATCTGTATTTCCTCCTAAAACAATAAAAGGATACAGTAAAACCATTCTTGTTCACCCTTTTGCAGCAAGCTTATATATCATTTATGAAAGTTATGTAAAAGAATGTAATCTCACTCAGTTTCACCATCTTTTATTTGAGGTAGTTTAGTCCTCATAATGGACAATAAGTTCTGGAGATTTCGAAATATTTGCCCTTGACTGTCTAAGGGAAACTGAATATTTCAGGGGAACATAATTGTCATGTTCTGCGGGTGGAGGTGGCAGACCATGTGTGGTGGTGGGTTCCGGAGGCAGATGAGCAGACAGACGGATGTAAAAACTAAAAAGATGTTTATTGTAGGACGGGAGCAACAGGACGAACGAACATGGACAACGACAATGAACCAACAAAGACAACAACCAGGAGGGAGGTTTAAATACACAAGGGAATCAGGAACACATGGGCAGAGTAACCAGGGACAGGTGAGAACGATTAGGCAAATCAGGGCAGGAGAGACACAGTCAGGGAGGCTGGGGCGGATCATGACAATAATTTCCCACAACACCCTTTTCACGTGCTCGATGTAAACAAACATGCTGCCACTACCGGCTTATATGGACTCTCTCGCTCTCTCCTGTTGCTAATTGAAACGCGCACCGGTGTTGAAGCGCGTTTCTCCACCGTTCTGCACCGCTCAAGCTGCAAAAACGCGCATGCTCATTGCTCGCTCCAGCGGTGCGCACAAACACAAGCACGTGATGAGCGGAACCAGGACCCAAATTCCCGGTGGGCCGATCTGAGGTCGGTGTTTTTAGTCGTCTCTTTGTTTTTTCGGGCCGGTGTTCAGTCATGACGCTCTGCTGATCACCTGCTGATGAGAGGATTTCTCCTGTCAGTGGAACAGGTGAGCTGCTGAACAAGCGTTAGTTCCTAGAAACACTTTCTATGCCCAGACTGTAGTGACCTGTTATTTATCATTTTATAATTAATATTAAGTGAATGCACTAAACCCACAAATGATAGAAGATAAGATTAAATATTATTAATCATATTACTATCAAATGTAAATAAGTATAACAGATAACTAATCTTAATGAAAACATATTAATAATTTTTATTTTAATATTGATTATATTTCATTTCTAAGGTTTGGATGTCTGTGAACATTACAGAATATTCAGACTGGTGTAAAGAACATGATATTATTAATAACAGGTCATGATCTAAAGCTGGTCTGAGGTATAAAACTCTGCCCTGGGCCTAAAGCCCTGCAGATAGATTTAGTTTCTATAAACAACAACAACAAATAAACAACAGCAGCTGGATTCTACTTTGTTCCTTAAATTGAGTCACGTAGTTTTGCAAGTTCTGCAGCTCACACGTTCACCAGGGAGCTCTGGCAGCTGATTGGTTCTTTTGGTACCTAGTGCAGTTCTGGTGCTGAGCAGCATGGATGCATCAGTGGATTTCACTGTAGTCTGTGTTCATAATGGATTAAGAAAGGACAGGAAAACATTGTTAACTCAAATATATCATTATAATGAACATGTATAGATACTTTATCATACATACCTACCAGCCTGTAACTCTACTTTCCTCCAAAAATGCACCAGACTGATGCGTCCTATTCCTAATAAAAAAACAGGAGCCAAATGCAAAGTTCAGGGCAGAACATTGACATGCGACACACCTGCAACCACTTCAGCCACCCCTTTAAGAGAAACCAGCAACCACTGATGACGAGCTGTTGCCGCCTCGCCCAGAGCTCTGAATCCCCAGAGTTCAGTTGCTGCTGTTAACATCCAGCTGTGGTCTTTGTTGTGTTTCTACCTGGAAAGGTACTACCTACTCTTGAGGTGACGCTATTGCGTCCCTCAGCTCGCTAGGAGAGATGTGGTTGGTGAGGGAGCAATAAAGTTTGAGTGTGGGTGAAATAATAACAGAGCGTAAGTGTCCAACACAGGATTGTATTAAACAACACAAAAGGCAGATATTCACAAAAGGGAAAAAGGCTAACAAAAAGCGCCAAGCCAAAAAGGGCTGGGAGAAGAGGTTTAACCGAAACAAAATAACTGCTAACTAGTGATTGGTCCAGCAACACCGACACACCGGCGCATGTGTCAGGCTCATGGAGCGAAACCTGTGTCGATGCGTGTGTTGCTTTAAGAAAAAGTCACACGACCAACACTGCTGCTGTGTCGCTCATTGCCAAGGCGCCAAACTGTGTTTATAAGGTATCGACTCTGCATCTGTCAACGGGATGAGTCGCCGCGAAAAAATTACCATTTCAAAGATAAAACAAGACATCCCTCTTTACATCAAGAAAATGGAGCCAGAGAGGAAAAGAAAAGTTTCTGCTGTGTGGGATCATTTTGATCTTTTAACAGCAAATAAGGTACGTGTTGGTCTTTCCTTGTTTC